AGCAAAAAGGGGGAGACAAATGAACTGCTAATTATAGGAAAAACAAATTAAGGAAAAAGAAAAGGAAATACTAAAAGGAGAGTCCAAGCATAGATAAATTACACTGGAGCTCACAAATATAAGTCCTGAACAGACAGACTGAGGAAAAATTAGAATGGCGCCAAGTAACACCAGGAGGTGTGGCCAAGGAAAAAGATTCCTCAGTCCCAGGGCAACCAGACTTATTTAACCCGGCACTTGGACTCTCCAAGCGGTGCACAGGAAAATATCTTATTTTGTTAACAACATGCTATTAGATCATGTTTTGCCTTCTTGGACACAGAAACAAATCTTGCTTTGTTCTTTATGACACTCCTTCAGGTATCTGGCCAGTACATCCCCTGTCCCCACAACCACCATTCTAATCCCCAGTCTAATGCTCATAAATTCCTTCCACCTTTTCTCTTAGCTCTTATTTTCTATAATCCTTTTTGGCTTTCAAAGCCTATCAGCAATTCTGTGTGCCGCCTTACCCACTTCACACACAGCAGTCTCACTTTACTCATACAAATATCAGATTCAACCAACATGCTAACATAAAGCTTAACTGTAATGTTCACTTGCCAATTAAAAGCTAATGAACGTCTATGGTTTCTGAGTGCACATAGAATCCACATTAAAGCAAATGCATTTGATAATATTTTTCAAATATTTAAAAACAGAGTTGAATTGTTATAAAGTAGTCAGAATATATTTTGGAGAAGGAAGCAGCCATATGTTGCTGAAGTATTTGTATACATCAATTTTTTGATGCCATTATACAAACATTTTCTTCCCTTACAAGAGATCACACAAGTTCTCTAAATCAACACTACATTTTGAGAAATCTCAAAGTCCAAAAATAGTTGGTGAACACTACCCCCCCTCAGTTGTTAAAATAACACAATTTGATAGCGATCTTGAAGGAAGCATGGTTTCCTGAACGCTGAGAACTATCAAGTATTTTTCAAAAAAATCAAATTATTATATTACATGGCATACATTTATGGAATCAGACCCACCTGGAGTTGAAATTTCATTCTGTGGCAAACTGTTCTGTAACAACCTAAAATTAATGCGAGAATGTATTAACCGATGCTAGATATCTAACAAAAGAAACTTTCTTTATTAAACAACATTTAAGAACTAGAAGAGAAATAAAAACTTTACTTTAGGAGTGTTAAAAGTCAGCTTATAAGTACAGATAACTTGGCTTATGACCACAATTTGGACCCATATTTTGGTTATAAGTCATCGTGGTCATAGGCCTGCAGCAGACCAATGGGATCTGCTGGCACGAGTGGGACGATCTTGGGGCGCACAAACCAAAGCTGTGCAAAGGCTCTCCTAGCTATGACCACCACTTGTTTTTCAAGCAGGAGTTGCAACTCCTGGATGTGCAATTTCTACTCAAAAAGCAAGTGGGGGTTGTGTCTAAGAGATTATTGTACTCTCTTGAAAACTCTTTCTCTCCATTCTCTTTGTATGGGAATGAGATAGAGGGTGTCAGGTAAAGGAGCGATTGCCTATTGAAATTGCTTTTTGTTAAGAGCAGAGTGATTGGAGGGAAAAGGATTTCAAGAGCGTATGGTAAGCTGTTTTGCATAGTGCACCTGAGGCTGCCAACCCTGGGCTAAAGCATAATCCACAGTACATTTGATATGTAGAAAGACAAACAATTTACTTTCTTGCAATACGTGTCTCTAATCTCTCTGCTCTGCAAGGATGGGGGGGGGGGAGGCGGAAAACTGACAAATCAAGCACAGTGCAAGTATTGACTGTAATGGCAATCACGTGATTGAGGGACAATATGAAGGTTGTAAATGGACCTTAAAGTTATTTTTTCAGCAGTGTTGTGCTGAATGGTATCTGAACAAATGGATGATAAACAAGGATTTCCTTTACCTCTAAGTTGCTACATGCCCTTGCCTCCTATTTTATCTAAGACAGTATCATCCAATTTGGAGTTCTCTAAATATATTGGCTAAGTTCTCTGTCTGGCTCTAGCTAACTACAATTACATGACCATAATATTTGCTAACATCTCTAAGATACGTTCTAAATAGATTTAGCAAAGACAGTTTATCAGCTGGCTATAACACACTTATTTCCTCATTGGACCACCTACTTTTTGCCTTCAATTTTATGGAGCAAGAAATCATAGCTCAGTAGGAAATTAAAGAAAGTAATGGCAACTCAGTTTTTTTTAAAAAAAAAATATAGAATATCCTTTGATTAGATAAAATAGTCATTATGCTCAACTTGCTTAATAGACATAAGCTATCAAATAGACCATATAACAGAAACGTACAGATACTGCTGATGTAATTTCTCAATTGGCTGGGCTTCATTTTGGATACCTCTCTGAATAATAATGCATGCCTGAGGCACATTTCCTTGTCTACCAAGTTGTTGTGCCCAAGCAATGTACAGAATTGATGATTTGTTACCAACTCCTTGGCTGTACATATAATCGAAAAAATGACTTGGATTATCAATGAAGTCAGCCTAGGGGAAAAATAAGGCAACATCATTAACATACTATTTTTTTAAGGTAGTTATCTCAACTATTATAAACTCACATTATAAAACAGAAGAAAAAATAGTCATCAGTTTACAAAATACCATTCCATAAATGTTATGAAGTATTTTTTTTTTAAACTTGGCTTTGGAGCCAGAATTACTTATTTCCACAAATTCAGTAGAATTTAATTTAGTCATAAGTAAAGTCCTATGGATTTCAGCCCATCTATTCGGAGTAGAACAGACTGAAAATTCAATAATGTTGATTATGTTTAGATATCATTCTAAGTTAGAATTTCCTGAAATTTTCCTAATGAGAAAGAAACATATTCTTATGCCACTGCCTCATCTGGTTTATCTTGCCTACTGAAGTGGATAAACTAATATTCTTTCATAGGATGAGACTTGTCCCCAATTTAACAGACTAGAGTTGGAAAATATCTTCATAAATGGTCAAATAAATGTTCTCCTGTATCTCAGTTCACACAAGAGAAGGCAGCAGAAATGCATAAAAGGGATGCATGAGCTTGAGAAGCTAACATAAAAATTCATAGAGATTAATAAGTTTCATATGAAACTCCATTTTGATCTGATTTAAATATAAAATACTTACATTGGATTGACTATATTGTCACATCAACATATATAAAAGAAATTTCACAAGATCAAAATCAACCACGATCAAAAGAAAAACTGGGTAACGTTCTTTAGTGAAGAAAGCTTGATTCCAGAATTATAAAAATCTACTTCTAACATCAACAATACCACTACTTATTCATTGCTCTATGGTAAAGTTCAAAGATTATAGTTTACATCCTATATACCTACAAATTTGACACAGCAGTTGATGAATCTCATGTCGTCTTGATATCTCTTATCACTTAGAAATGTTTTCACAAGCTGCTCCAATAAAGATGACAGGCAATTTTGCTTTCCTTCTGCTTCTGACATTCCTTCTATCCACTGAAAATACCTAAAACCAAAATGAGTTAACTTAACTACTATTTTATAGTAATTTAAGGGTCTATATTAAAAAGTAAAGACAAAGAAAAGACCAACCTGTACCAGGGATCAAGTGGATCACTGCCACTGTAATTCTGTATATGAGCTTCAAACATTCTGTGAAAAAAACAAGACACACTAGCTTTTGTAACAGCTACAATATAATAATTTAAACATATTAGAAAAAACATTTCCCTAAAATCAATGTGGTTCCCAATGTGCTAAACCCCAACTCCCATAATGCTTATTCATTCTGCCACTGAGAACGAGAAACCTGGTAACTGATCACTCTAATTCACATATTTCATTTTTTAAAGACAATATAGTTATAATATTCTTAAAGTTGTTGACATTTTACTTATTTGTCTCATTTATATACCACCAGATTACATTTTGATTAAAATTGATTTTAATTTTTTTTAAATTTATTTGATTTAAAATTGATTTTAAAATTTATTTAATCAAAATGTGATGTGAATGTGTCATGTGATAAATACAAATACATAACTGTACCACCAAAGATTCCTGATTGTTTACTATCACAAAATTATAAAAAATATTAACAAATGCAAGATTTAAAAAAATAATAAAAATCACACTCAGAAAAGAAATGAAAAGGCAACTCTGTAAAACTTCTGCTGAATTACGTCCTGAAAATATAGTCTCCTAAAGCATGAAACACTACAGTATTTACTATCACATTAGTGTTATTTCTTAGTGACAATCTGTCCTTAACCTGGTCCTTCAGGTCTTTCAAAAGCCCATCCATCACCATTGTAACTCAGTTCATCCATCTTGCTGTTAACCATCCTGCCTTTCCTTTCACCTTTGACAATATTATAGACATCTTCAGAGAGATAGGTTTTCATATAATGCGCCCCAAAATGATAATTTGGTCCTGGTAATTTTTTTCTTGAATGAGAATACAGGATTGATTTGTTCTATGATCTATTTTTATTTTTCTTGTTTTGGCTAGCCATGCTGTCTTCTCCCACACAAAATTTCAAAAGTGTCAATACTCTTTCTATCATGCTTCTTTGAAGTCCAACTTTCACTTCCATAGACTATCATCGGAAAAACTACTGACTGTATGATCTAATCCTGTGATGGTGAACCTATGGAACGCGTGCCACAGGTGGCATGCACAGCCCTCTCTGCAGGCACCTGAACCGTCACCTAGCTCAGCTCCACCACACATACGTGTGTGCCTCCTGCCGGCCACCTGATTTTCAGGTCTCTGCTGTGAATGTGGGAGACATGTGCACATGCGTGGAGCTGCACATGCATGCATGGGGATGCAGGGGGTCATGTATGCATGTGCAGGGGTGGGGAAAAGCACGGGGGTTGTGACACCCACCGCAGCCCATTTCTGGTCCCACAAGGCCTGATAGGCCCAAAATAGGGCACAGGGGGGTCGTGCACATGCACGGGGGGAGCAGGGGGGGGTCGTGTACATTTGCAGGGGGAGCATGAGGTATCATGCACGCATGCACAGGGAGTGGGGAGCATTGCATTATGGGTGTGGGCACGGATGTGTGCATTGTCGCACACGTGCGCGCGATTTCAGCACACAAGGAGGAAAAGGTTAGCCATCACTGATCTAGTCTTTGCAAGCACATCATGGCATCTGAATATCTTTAGTTTACCAAGTACTATCTATTGTATGTAGGTAGAACCAAAAGTATTGATGCCCTTTCCCTTTTTCCTAAAAAATTCCAATTTGCTTGAAATATGTTGAAACACAAGTAAATGGCATCCACCATTTTTATCACATAGTCCATAGAGCAGATACTTTGCTTTTGAAGTGTGATTTAATATATACATCTAAATAATAAAACAAACAAAAACAGCATGGTCATAATTATAAACATTATCTGAATATTTTACTGTTTTGAAGCAAATATTGCAATCGAGAGCTTTCTGTAACTGTGCATAAAAATCCTCAACTAGCAGTTTGTTCTGCTCTTGTTGGTTAAACTGCTTCAGATGTTTTGGATTTAATAGGTTCTTCTCTCAACGATGGCTGCAGCTCTTTCCATTATAGTTCCATTGGATTCAGAGTGAAGAAAGTTAGCACCCATCCCTCTTAGAAGAATGAAACATTTTAGCAAATATTAAAAAGGCAGAATATTATGTTTTCCCTAAAGGAGAAACATGTTTCTAAAGACAGAAACTCAGCCCAGACTCCCTGCCCCCAGCAGATATTTTGGTAGCAGCTTATCTACAAGACAAAAGACCTCAACTCCAGGATGATGGGATTATCCTTCAGGGCAAGACCATTCAGCCACAATAGGAAATTGCCCTTCATTGCATCACCCAACAGGATTCAACCAAGCCTGGGACACAGACAACCTCAGCTAAGACTACATAGTCCCATGGGGGTCTGACAGCAGCCAATAGGATACCTGTCCTTGCCACAGGAACAGGCAAGGCCCAAGAGAAGGTATAAATGTCTCTCTCTCCACTCCATATGTTCAACTGCACCAGGACCATGTGCTTAATAGTACTGCTCCATTAAATCATCCTTCCAAGTGGCCTCCATGTTTTCAGTGTCTTTATTCCCATTTGGAACTGAATCCAAATGGACATTTCTTCCAATAAGAGCTAAACTCATAGCAGGCCACTTGAGAACAGTACAATGTTTGCTTCTAATCATTCTTGGATTTCCTTAGATATTTCAACTCTTTATCATGCAAGAATGGACTATGACTTGCAACCAGACAAAGCTTCACTCAAAATATCTTGGCCTGCTATGATTCAAGGCACCCAGTACAGGAGGCGACAAAGATCCCCATAACATTATGGAATCTCCTCCATATTTCACAATAGAGATGCTGTTCTTTTCTTTAAAAGCATCGTTTTTTCTTCTGTGAACACAGAGCTGTGATTTACCCCAAAACTCTAATTTCATTTCACCTATCCTCTTCTTTCTCCCCGATTCATCTCTATTTAAATCCTAATCTAGCCTCTCTAGGCATCTGATGAAGTGAACTACAACTCACAAAAGCTTATATTTTTTAACAAAATTTGATAATTGGAAAAGATGCTACAACAGTGGTCCCCAACCATTCCATCGCTAAAGAGTGGCAAAGGTGGGGGGAGGGGATTGTTTTGCACATGCAATAAAACTTTGAATGCTTGCCTGCTGCTAACACAGCCCAATTCCCAACAGGCCACAGACGAGGAGTTGGAGACCCCTGTGCTACAAGACTCCTGATTATCTGCCTTTTGAATTCTTTAGTATCCAAATTGAGGTTGGGACTCCCTTCAGAATTCTAAGATTATTTGGAAGGCTTTTCTGGTTTTTTCTGTTTTTTTCATCCCTGATATCATTTCAGATGCTGTTATAATACTGCTTTTTGTTATAATACTAAAGGCTCTTTAAATTTTTTTGTTAAATTCCTTTGTAGATCTTTTGTCTTCACTGGCTTTGCCTTCTCTTTTCTTGGTGATTTCCAGTTTCTGTTTTAACATCCATTGTACTTTCTTCTGTTTATTTCACACTTTAGCAGCCTCTTTCCATCATCCTTAACAACTTTTTAAAGTTCAGACCACAGTTCCTCTGATGACCTATCAATGAGGTTCAGGACTTTAGAGCAATTTCTCATGTCCTCCTTGAAAATGATGGAGTGTGTGTCTGTATTTGTTATATTTTATTGATTTGATAGTAATTAGAGTCAGGAAACATGCAAGTTTAATATATTATTATGGTTGGCTGCATAATCAACCAAGTTTAGACAGAATTTGGCATTCTTGTCCACCTATCAAGTTTCTCAAGACCTGGGATATATCATTGTTTAATACTTTTAAAGGTTGCAGGATGTAAGCTGTTCCAAATAAAGCTGCCTTTTGCAATTGACTGATGATTTTTTGCCATTGTTGAATTTCAAATTTATTACTCTTCTCAGAATCTTAACATGGAAATTGGGTGGCTTTTTTCTGCTTTAGCTTGATTTGAAAGTTGCATGTGAGCAGTTTGCGATGTTCTATAGTCAGCCTCCTGGGCACGACTTTGCTATCATAACTGAGCTGTACTATCACCTTGTAGAATCTCACCTCCTTGCTATATATCCTTCCCAACTATAAAGGCATCCTTGTTGTTCATGTACTGAATGATAAACAGTATGATATTCTGCCTGAAAATTCATTTCAGCTCACTGATGCCTAAGATGTCAATGTGTAGTTGATTCATCATTCACTATGTTGAGTTTTCCTACATTAATGCCACTTGCATTCCATGTCTCCATTGTAATTCTGTCTTTGCAACTTCAATTTTCTTTTCCTACACTGCAGCCTCAGCAATTAAATTCCCCACAATCTTTTATTTAGCTGTATTTTAAACATCATTAGTATTCCAAAAGAACCTCAGGAACATGTCAATATGATCCAAGTTAGAGGCCCATCATCCAGTACATCATCAATCACTTTATCTTATCTATCTATATGGTTTTCTTTATAAAATATAAAAGTGTTTTATCACTCTTCCAGGCAGTATGAAGTGACCACTTTGCCCTTGCCACCAAAATAAGCATCTCTTCTAGAATCTCCCCATGTCCCTGCTTCCCTTAACTAGGCAGCTGGAATGACCTTCATATTTTGGGGTGACCTTGTTACCATTCTCCACTCATTCCTCCCAGGACAACTCCACAGTAAAGCATATCTTTATTTATGTGGTCCAGGACCAGTAGACGGACAAAAATAAGACAAAATTAAAACTGCAATACAGCAAGACCAATGCGGAGTGAGTACACACTTTTAAGTACTAAAAGTGCACATAGAAAAGTACAAAGCAATCACAAACAGCTAAAAACAATTAAGAACACAAAATCCCGAGTAAAAAAATAAATAAATAAATTTAGGTAAGTGGGTAACTAATAAACACTATGAGCTATTTAACTTGAAAATAAGACAACAGGATTTGAGAGGATAGGTTTTTTGCACCACTGTATATATTTCTTATATTACAGTATTATTTTACTTTTATTTGTAGATATGTGCTTTTCTTTATGCTTTAGTAATTTATATTTTTTTATCCATATGTTTATTGATAATTGTACCTGGTTGTTTTACTTTTTTCTTTTATTATCAATTATCAAATAATAAAATACATATAAAACCCCTGGTGATAGGAAATACATGTTTTCAGATGAATGACTAAATATATGAAAATTTAAGTGTGGTCTCCATAAGGCACTTTTTAAAGCCTTCTCTATCCCACTGGTTTGATTCCAATTAAGTAAACTTAAGGTTGTCTCCATCACCAAGTCTTTTCACAGAATAATTAAACCTAATTATTTTCACCCTTCTACAAAAACAGAGGAAACTAAAATGGTTGTAAGTTAATCTGCGGTGAGTGGCTCTTCTAAAACAAAGTTCCTGTAAAGTGGGGTGTTGCAGGTATTATCAGTCAATTTCAGAATGTACCAGCCCAAATCCAATAGTCTTTCTGTACTGTACAATATGCCACACAGTGCACGGCTGACCTGAGGTATAGGTAGTCCACAATTGAGCCCAAAATTTATGTTGCTAAGTGAGAAATTTTTTAAGTGAGTCTTGCCCCATTTTACAACTTTTCTTGCCCTATTTGTTAAGTGAATTACTGAAGTTGTTAAATTAGTAACATGGTTGTTAGGTGAACCTGTTTTCCTCATTGGCTTTGCTTGTCAGAAGGTTGCAAAAGGTGATCACATGACCCAGGACACAGCAACTGTCAGATATGTGAGTCAGTTGTTAAGCCTTAAAATGTAAATCACATGACCGTGGGGATGCTGCAATGGTCATAAGTGTAAAAAAGGTCAGAAGTCATTTTGTCACTGCTGTTGTAACCTTGGGTAGACACTAAATGAACTGTTCTAAGTTGAGGACTATCTATATTAAAGAAACCCTGCATGGCAGGCTGTTAAATACAAAAGTCAGAAAAAGAAAAGTCACAAGTCTTGCCAATGATAACAATAGTTTTGTAAATAACAGTCACCTCCCTCCAATTATGATTTCCTAAAAGATTCCTGACTACAAAACAGTACACTTCCTCTGAAAGTAATGAAGACCAAAGCAAAACAATCTCAAATGAGGAAGTTGAAAAGTAAAAGAAGCCGATCAAGGTGGACCAATTTCCACATCAGAATCCTCCCATATAGAATCAAATGGCAACTATATAGCCAAGGTTGCTATTGAAGTGAAATTACATATATTACTTCTTAAAACACCTTTTGGCTCAGCAGGACAGTATTAACCTATAATGTTAACAGAGCAAACATTATACACATGTGTATGTGTATGTGTAAATTGCAGTAAAATAAACTGTTAACAGAAAACAGTAAGAAAAAAAAAATACCCAGCCGAAGCCCAGGTAAACAAAACCCAAACTATTACTGACTTCCTTCCCCCCCGCCCGCCCCCCCAAAAAACCAAAATAACTCCAGATATCTGACAACTAAGAGCAAGGGCAAAGTACTACTATCCCCAGAGAGGACCACAGACCTGGCACTACAGCTAAAGAAGTGTTCAAGGATTGCTCTCCCAGGACTGCTCATCTTACAGAAACCAAAGAACAGAGGTATGTAAAAGATTTGTGTCATATTTATATAGATGCATATATATTGTAGCCTGAAATTGCCGTGCTTCAGTACCCTCTTTCACTTGCATGCTGCATGTAACGACTGCACGTAGGAACCTGCAGAGGGCAATTCCCATGCAAAAGGTAACTCCCCCGCCGCCATCACAATCATAACCCGCCTCTTGAGTCTGGGTAAGATACTAGGGAGGCCAAATGTTACTAGTCTAGCTGACCCTCGCAGGAGTAGGAAAGCTAATACGGAAGACATTCGTTCAGCCAGAAATCCGCGGGAGGCGAAATCGCTTCGCCCTTCCAGTTACTCACTGTGTGCGAACTGAGAGGTCCATGGCGGCCTCCGAGCAGACGGCATCCATTATAACTGGCAGGAAGCATACAGAAAAATTCAAATCCTCCCGCGCAGACTCACAGGCGCTCTGGTCTTACGATGATTGGCCGATATCCCAGGAAGAGCACCCAATCAGGAGGACATCTTGATCCTTTGGTTTATTAAAAGCTCCCAGTAGCTTCATAGGGAGCAGGAGAAAGGTGGTGGCGGTGCTGGATTTTCACGTCCAGTTGTAATTTGAACACCGCCATGGACGTTGCAGGAAAGCAAAAGGGAATCCGTTTTTCTAACTCCCTGTCCCGTAAAACTGTATTCAGGCTTTGGCTCCCCCACTCATGTGAGAGTCGGGAGTATAACTAATGTTTTAACTGAATTCTGAACGAAACATACAAGTAGATCGTTCAAAAAGGAACTGCACCACTCTGCAATCGATGTCTGATCCTTGCAAATGTTTACATTGCATCTGTACGCACGTTTGTGTAGACGTATGACGGCTTGGTTAAGTCTTGCACCTTTTCCAATTCTTTCCCTAGTTCCTGTATGAATGTCTGTATTTGTACATGTGGATGTATTATGTAAACGTTCTTTTCTCTGATCTCTCAATAGAAAGTCATCGTCCTTGTCGTTATTACTTACAGATTTGCACTAAATGAAGTCTAGCTTTTAAGCTATGTCAAAGGGTATATTTCTTTGTTGCTAAGGTTCCTGATATTTTTTTTTACTATTGTTTCATTGTTATTGTTATTTTCTGAAATTTGACTTTATTAAACCATTCCAGAAGAGGGTAGCAAATAGTAATTTTTTTTCTACAAAAGACACACAGACACACACAGATAAGACAAAATGCTATGCCTGTTTCTTAACAAATTTTAAAAACTTGACCCTCTGGATGAATTAGCCTGTTTAAAATTAGAAATAGTTCTTCCATTAGCAACAAAATCTTTTGTAGTAAATATAAGATGCCTGCTGACATTTTACAATTCACTTTTTTTTCTTCTTCCAATCATGTCCAATCCTTGAAGAGGGCCTGGCCAAGTCCCTGCAGCTTTCTTGGCAAGGTTTTTCAGAAGTGGTTTGCTCTTGTCTTCTTCCTAAGTCTAAGAGAAACTGACTAATCAGAGGTCACCTGGCTAGAACTCACAGTCTCCCAGTTTCTAGTCTGATGGCTTAACCGCTACACCAAACTGGCGCTCATTGTAATTTTACACAGGTTCATATTAAGTCCACTTATTTCAGAGGAAATTCTTCCCCAGGTAAATGTTTATTATTTTTTATTTGTGTAGGTAGTCAATGGGGAAAACAGACCATAAACAGGCAATATAAAAATAACAAGAAAATAAATGTTATGGGGTTTCAGGCTTAAAATCCACACATTTATTATTGCAGAATGACACCCACCCAAAGATACAGTATGCAGTTTGTATCCCAATGCTTTACCTGTTTGTTCAAGGAAACCGTGTTTGGTGAATTTACTGTCAAGAAAGGACTTTAAGACATAGCCACACATTTTAGTCAATTATGCACATAGTCATTGTTTAGTGGCCACAGTTGGGACCACAACAACTCAGTGGTTAAGTGAAGTTGATGCTTAATGAAATTGTGACTATGCTTATGATATTAGTTCAGTTTTTCTTTGTTTTACAGATCTATAAAGGTCAGAAATATGAAGACTGGTCATAAAATTATGTTTTCACGAGTACTGTAACTATGAAAGGTTGCTAAATGAGACAGTCACAAAATAAGGACTACCTGTAGTAGCAATTTTGTGTGAGGGGTGCCTCAGGACTGACTCCTAGTGACTGCCCGAACAAATCTGTGCAGTTTCCTTGGTAAGATTTCAGTATAATTTGCCATTGTTGACTTCCTAGGGCTAAGAAAGAGTGTTTGGTCCAAGATTACAGAACTGGCTTCATGCCTATCCTTTGATAGAACTCAGGGTCTCCCGATTTCTAATCTGGTACCTTAACCAATACACCAACTAATTGTCATAGTAGGAGGAAGGTTTTTTTTTTAAAAAAAATTAAGGCTGCAATAGTGTAATTCCTAGGGGGGCATCACATCACAAGGGCCACGGGTATTTTTAGCTCTCCTTAAGGGAAAAGTCGACCCTCTGCTTTAAAACAGCCCATGGTCCTAAAGCTGCAGAGATACAAGCTTCTCTAATACCAGAATTCAATGGTATAAAAGAGACCAGAAAGGCAATCTGGGAGCATTCCATGTAGGACAGGTTATGGATCTACAGATTTGCTATGTTCAGAGTCACTATGGGAACAGGGAGGAAATGGTGCTAGTTCTGAATCAGGCATATATTTTCCCTTCTCATAAGAATCAGTGAGGAGAAAGGTTAAAATAAAAGAAAGTTAGATGTCTCCTAAAAGCAAGGAAGAATCCAGAGGTGGTACTCAGCCAGTTCGGACTGGTTCAGGTGAACTGGTAGAGCCGACGATCAGCTGGCCCCACCCACCCGCCCCTGCCTTATCCTGTCCTTTATTTCCTGCTTTCTAGCTCATCTCAATTGTGGGGCACAGCTGATTCTCCCCCCCCCCCCCCCCGCTGTTCGACATTCCATTGCTG